ACTTTCATAAGTTTATGATGTGGCTTGTTCTCATAATGTTTAAAATCACTGTCAGTCTGGGTCTTCTGAACACTTCTTTCTAGATTGATTCCTTTGGTAGTTTGAGTTGTACTGATTTTCTCTTCAGGTTTACATGATGATCCAAATGATGAATAATGTTTAATGAAATTATCTGAACATCTTACTTGGTTCTTTGTCTTCTTATTAGATTGCAATACCTCACTGTTCTCTTTAAAGATTTCATTCATTCTTTGCTTATGTTGAGGTGATCTTTGTTTGAAATTATTTCCTTCATTCTCATACTGAACTACAGATGAAACTTTACATAACTCTCTTTCCATAGAAGAATTGTATTTTTTATTTCCTTTTGGATATGAATGATGCAATGTGCAATTAGACCATGTCTCTAACCTACTATTATTTTTAAACGAATTTTCATATCTTCTCTTTTCTTCTAAAGTGAAACTGGATGATGAGCCAGTGACCTCTGTTTTGCTGATAAAGTAGTAATAAATTGTACATTAAAATACTAACGAATTTCCTTCTCAAACAAGATAGCAATGTATAAAATCAATACAGTAAAATATACTACTGTAAATTATGTTTATCAAGCATAATTACCGAGCCAACTATTTGCACATATAAAGTATATTTAAGTATTCTATAAGGGGCTCTGTCCAAGTAATCAATGTAAATGAATTTTGATGCAAAGATAAAAATATAAAATATGTACAAAACACATGGAACAAATTAGCACTTATTTAATTTTGCATCATGAATAAGTCAATAATAGATTGAAAATTACTGTAAAACAAAACTTTATCAGAATTAAAGTGTAGAACAATCAAACTATTAAAATATATATATAAACTAAAAATTAATATTTATACATCAACTTACTTTGGGTTATAACCTAATGCACTGGCCACATGGTTTAAAGGAAATGTTATAAATTTTCTAGAGTTGCTGTCTTTTTCAATTACCAACGTAGTGATGATGACTAAAAAGGTTTTCATTAAATTTTCTCCTTCAAAATAAGCCATAGCCATCAGCACAATTATTAACAGCCATGTAACAGACAAAAAAAGATAGTAAAGAAGTAACTCCCATGTTAGCCTCGGCAAGGAATGACCTTGACGAGGTAAGGTGGCACCAAGTGTATATTGCAACACTAATCCTCCAATGCCAAGGCTGGTATGAATATTAAGCGTTCTCACCACTTGGGACAAGGAAAAGTCTGATGTAAAACTACAAAGAAAGAAATTACTGAGAGTGATCTGTTTAATTAGGCAACAAATCATTGTTTTTTTAAAGTATCTGTCAGAAATAAACATTTTAAAAAGTCTTTTTAGTTACATTTTTTTTAGATACAATAATTAAGGTTCAAGCTGTTATACTATCATTTCAAAAGTATAATTTTTAAAATAAGTATTTTCTTTAACCAATGAAAAAAAATATTTAAAACATTTACATGTTAAGGATTGTAACTTAAAACTTGCTTTAGTGAAAGTACATGTAACTACAGGTGATTACCCATACTTGTAGTAAAACATAAAATACAAAAGTACACAAGCATTTTGGATCATATTTACTGTTGGTTTTGAAAAACAAAAATTTCCAATTTAAAGGTTTAGTTAGAAAATAAATTTAAATTAATGATAGAAAATTATCCAAAATTTTAAGTTTTTTAAAAATGTTAATTAGAAACAAAGTAATATATTTCTTACTTACCCTAAATATACTTTTCGATCACAAACAGGTTTCATTTCAAACCCATAAGGGTTAAGGACTTTGAATCCAAGTCCTGAGCAACAAATCCCACTGATGATAAATTCTGTAAGGAATATAAAAAGCTCTTACATGTTTCTATCTGTGCAAATTCTTCTAACCCTATAGACTGGCTGTGAAAACTTAGTGTTGAAAGAAATTAAACAGTATTTTACTATGAAATATAAACTTTACAAATTAGATACAAACACTTCATATGTTATAAAAAAATACTATTAATTAAGACCTACTCCAGTATGAATAATACCATGTCATGATTCTATGTTACAACAATGTTTGAATGATGCTACATCTATAGCAATTGTGTTCTGTTGCAGTTAACTGAATGCAACGACAAATAACAGCCAAAAAAATATCATTCCTCACTACTATTTGTCAGGCTAGAACACTAAATTATACAAGTTAATAGCAGATTAGATGGAAATAAAAAATGATTTTGAAAGCTAAAAAACACAAAAAGAAATATTCAATGCTAGTATAATTGTTGATATTCTGTCAACATATCAGATGTTTTCTATAACTAATTATATTCCAAAAACACCAAGCTACAGTATTTAAGGCATAAATATTATTAATATAACTATTTTTGAAAAGTACAATAGTGTTTAAGGATTTTGATTTAATCATCTACAACTTTAATTCTAAAGAAAGGAACAGACGTAATGTTGTTGCACTGCTGAGGTTTAGCTGCATAATATTTTATTGTACATAACATTATGACTACATTTTCCCATTCTCCATTCCAAAGTTTAGACACACCACATGGGTTTTGTTATATGGTGTATAAATATACCATGCATTTCTACCTTCTTATATCAACATAGCATTATTCAGAATATACAAGTTATTTCTGAATATGTACAGTTTTCACATAAAACATGATCACGAAAATCATAAAGCAGATGTTATTCTAGTTGCCTTTGTTCCTATTTCATTCTACTGATGTCACACCTATTCTGCCTGCATTGTGCAAGAATATAGACAGCAGTGGCCTTCAAGAATAGCTCATGTGGTACTCAAGTTTTATGGCCTTCCCTAGCCTTGAATGAGAGTGACCAGTCACATGTTTACTGCTAGTCATTCCGATTAAATCTGATATTACCTGTGATGTAAGGAATATTGAATTTAAACAGTATGGTATATGATCTCAGCTTGATCAGTTTGAACAAATGTTACCTGATCCAGTAGATAAGACCATCCCATGTTTGTAAAGCAAGCACACACACACACACACAGTGTTTGTAGATTAATATGCTTGTATTTGACATTTTGTTCAGCCTCTTTATTTTGTTCTCATGAATTCAGTTACATGGAGTTTTAATTCTTAATAAATATCTTGTTGAACCTCCTGTTACTAAATGAATGGAGCCATACCACTTCTCCAATATTAACTTAGTTTAACCAGAATATACCACAGTCACATACAAAGTTACTCAAGTCACTGAGATCATCAGAATAAATTTTAACAGTGTTAAACCCTGTTCAGAAAAACACTTGTTAATAAACATTATATCAAAATATTTTTAAAACAATGATGATGTAAGATAGTGCCAGTATAAATTTATTGATAATAAAAAGTAACATGCCTATTAGAAAAGTTCAACCACTTGTTGGCAATTTTTATTTTACCTACAGTCCTGATTTATCTGGTTACTAAATACCATCGTTTTTAGTAATTCTCTCACTGTAAAGAGACTTCTGTCAGACAAAATGAATAAATAATATTCAATGTGGGTATTCTTTTCACAGATCTTTCTGTAGTAACAATTATTATTAATTGCCACTCTTTGCTTCTTTATTTCATTTGGAAAGCTATGGTTCCCGAAAGAAGTTACGGCAGTAATTTACAAACTTTTTTCACTGATGACACCCTAACACACTTACCTTGACTTGCAATGACACCCCTGTTGCCACATGCAGTATTTTTATTTTATGTTCTTAATTATTCTTCATTTGGTGAAACTCTCACAACACTCTTAGCAGCTTGCCATGGTGCACTAGCATGTTGTAACTCACAATTTGGAAACCACTTGGTTGAATACAGTCTTAATGAAATCAGGGTATGTTTGAAAACAAACTTTAGAAAGGCAACCAATCAACTAAACTTTTGTATGATATATTTTGTTTGAATCTATCAAAAGCAATGTAAAATAATAAAAATCTTGTATTATCCTGTTAGTAACTGAAAAACACACACAAACAAAAAAACTGACTAAACCTATAATGAAACTGAAAAAGTATTCATTTGTAATCTGACCAACATAAACATTCACTTAATCTTTAATGGACATAAATCATACTAGAGAGGAACAAAAAGTATTTTGTAAAACCTATGTTTTAATTTTCACGTCTACCTACCTTATGAGGGACCACACACATACAAGTACGACTATCTTTCGCTTATATAAAATCATAAATACAATAACATAGACACACACAAACACATACTAAACAATGAATAAAAACAGAATTTCACAAACCTGAACTAATTTCCATTGGTACAGTTACATCTTCCTGCTTGTTATTATTGGCATTCAACCTTATATATAAAATATGACTGCTCTCTATTCTGGTTATAAGGTATGCTTGCATCATCAGTTTAGTTTCATATGGAGGGAATTTCTAGACAAATAAATTACATCACATATGTAATCAAGACACTAAGATAAATAACTGAATGATCCAACCTGCATATATATATATATGAATCTTGGTTAGGTTAAAAACTAAAAACTGATCTTGTACAC